TGTGTGTGTGTGTGTGTGTGTGTGTGTGTGTGTGTGTACATGCCACTAGCTCTGTTCTCTGAGGAAGTTTGGAGTCATTGATACCCATGAGGCAGTGTGCATTGCTAGTGTTCATTTCTTGACTTCCAAATACTGTTTTCCAATAAAATAAACTACAACTCCCTGAAGAATGGCTGAGTACAAGAATAAGGTGAGAGAACGCAATGCAAGTGTGTAGCATATAACTGTACCACAAAGCAAGGAGACACTCCAAGAGTGATAATGACAGTGCGTGAAGACCCATGCCATGAGCCAGCTTGAAGGCATTTCCACTGGCTAGAAACAATTTGTGCATCAAAAATAAATGATGAAGGTTATTGTGGTGGTTTGAAAGGAAAATGGTCCCATGAGCCTGTGTATTTGAATACTTGGTCCTTAGTTGGCAGCATTATTTGGGGGAGGTTATGAAACTTTTCGACCTTTTTGAAGGAAATCCATCACTAGGAAGGGCTTTAAGACTTTATAGTTCAGTTCCACTTCCAGTTTTCTCTCTGTTCCAGATGCCTGCTGCCAGGCCTCCCCTGCCAGTGTGGACTCTGCCTCTGACACTGCAGACAAAACAAACTCTTTTGCAAGTCACCTTCACTCATACTGTTTTGCCACAGCAACAAATATTAACTAACACCACAGTAGGAGTATAACCTACCGAACAAAAGAGAAAACCACCATTCTATGCTCATAGAAATACATAAATGAATAAAGAGTGTACTCAACAAAGACCTGGATACCACATAATTTTTAAAGCAACTCTCCCCAAATGATTCTTAATTACATTGTGAGAAAATGTAACTACCAGGAAGGTGTTGTTCAAATCTTAGATGGTCTTTTAATAAAAAACCTGGTACCAGATATTGAGGTAAAAGCTGAAAGATCAGAGATGCAGAACAGCCAGCCACTAGTTCTTACCTCTACGAAATCCTCAGTCTAAAGAGAGTGAGTTCCTGCTTCCTCACACCTTATATACCTTTCTCTGTCCTGCCATATTACTTTCTTGGATTAAAGGCGTGTGTGCCACCACTGCCTGGCTCTGTTTTTTTTTTTTTTTTTTTTTTTTTTCTCCTATACAGGATCAGTTTCATGTAGCCCAGTGTGGCTTTGAACTCAAAGAGATCCAGACAGGGCTCTTCCTCCTGAGTGCTAAGATTAAAGGTGTGTGCCACCACTGCCTGACCTCCATGTCTAATCTAGTGACTAGCTCTGTCCTCTGATCCTCCGGCAAGTTTATTAAGGTACACAATGTAGCACCACAAGAAGGTATCTGTGAAACACCACTAAGTGGTAATAATCAAGTAATTTCCAAAAAGGAACAAATCAAAAACATGTGCCACATAAGAAGATATGTTAAGGAAATCCAAGCTTCATTGCAATGACTCCAAATCTAAATTTGAAGAAACTTTAGACAAGCCCCAGGTTAAGAGTGTGCTACAAGTTAACCTGACTACAGTTTTCAAGGAAAATCATGAAAGAAGAAGAAACTATTTAGGCAGAAAGAGACTAAAGAAACACATGTAAGTGCAACCCTGACACCTGAACTATATCCTCTTATTGGAGGGTATAACTGGGAGGCAGAAAAAACCTTCAGAGTATCTGAGGGCTAAAGAGTAACCAGGTCCCTCATGTCAGCTCTCTGGTTATGTGGTTGCTACAAATAATGTCTATGGGGCTAAAAGATGGCTCAGTGGTTAAGAGCACTTGTTACTCTTGCAGAGGACCCAGGTTCAGTTCCAAGCACCCACATAGAAACTCACAACCACCCATAACCCCCAATTCCAGGGTATCCAATGCCTTCTTCTGACTTTTGTGGACAGTAGGCATGCACATGATTCACATACATATATGCATACATATATACATACAGAAAAAATATCCATGCCCTAAATAAAATTGAATATACCTATTAAAATAACAAATAGTATCTCCATATAAAATATAACTGAAAATTTTAGAAGCGACAGGGCATAAAGTCAGCAACTTCCCCTCAAGTGTTTCAAACAAAACTGTTTTTTATTGCATGTACAAATTTTCTGCTCAATTTCAGTGGTTAAAATATTTACA